GCTGCATGTGTATAGTTAGAAGTGCCAGCCTGCCCTGGTATAATTGCCAGTTTTGCACCATTCCAAGATTGCTGCCTCTGGAGTCAGTTTGTTAATGGTGTGCCATGTTGCTGTGGATAAGGTTTGCTGTGTTGCTTTACTCCATCTTCCCTAGCAGGGTTCGTACCATTGAGAGGGGTTTCACTTTCCCATCCTCAAAAGAAAAGAAACAATAAGCAATCTTGGAAAAAATTGTGGTTGATGATCAGATGATGTTACAATAAACAGGTTCAGTCAAATGGCCGAATGACTACGCTAGCGGACGCAACATTGACAGGTCTCAGGCTCGATCCCTGGCGTTTCTTGCTAGGCTCTGTGTCTTTGGGAAGGCACTTTACGCAAGTTTATTTATGCCAGCCATGTGTAAAATGGGTACCTGACTTTAGTTCGGGAGGATGGGCTCTGCCTTCCAATACCGTGCCGTAGACACAGTTGATTAACATCCCACTGCCCCTACAGCCTTAAAAGCCTTGTTATGTTGGGGTCCTTTGATTAACAAACAGATTAAATCCATGAAGCTTAGTATCATCTCAAAGAGAACAAGCAATAGACATCTTCCCTCCATGAACGAGGTTGGTGTTGTTAGGGTTCTTTTTTATGTTATCGCATGTGTTCATTGTTATAGGTATGTTCAGGAGAAGACTGGCCCCGACCACGCGGTCGGAGGTAGTTTATTTACATCACTAATTGGTAACAGAGGTTGGGGGGGGGGGTACAGAGGCACAGATGTCTGTTTCCTACTCGCTATCAATCACAACACAAACAAACCACCCCATTAGCAAGGCCGGCAGGTCAATTACCAAAAAACAACCAGACCAAAGAAATATATAGCCTGTCAAACAGGAGGTAAAAATAGATACACTGTATCCCAACTGGGGTCAACAAAGACCACACTACTATAAAATAGGGGTGATAATGTAGAAATCCTTTTAAATTAAGCAATACAAATATACGACAACCTGCTAATGCACTCTAAAACACAAAGAGACTCAACAGCTACCCACATACCAAAAATTATACCAAACCATCCACCAGATTTTCCAAACATTCAACACAAAAAGACCAACGTTAAACATTTTGTAAATATCAAACGCAAACAGCTAGGAAACCCAAATTTAAACCACTAAACCATAATAATAACAACTACATGCTACCTTAATATCGCACAAACAGTCCATAACGCGCCAACAATAGAATAAAAAAATTAAACTGCAGTACCAAGGTCAATCACCAGGGGCTCAAAGTCAACCTACACAATCTCCAAGGCCCCATCCATCAATCTGCCAAATATCATACAGTTCCTTTTCACCAATCTTCAGATATCAGACCAAAACATGAAACGGACCAAAAACAATACCCCCATTACATGGAGGGTAATAAGGAAAGTTCCAACATGTGCAAAAAGGCATACTTTTAGAAAGTTACGAGTAGAGGTACGAACCCTGTGACTGTCTAACTCCACTTTTGAGTAATTTTTCCACCAATCACTAATGATTGTGCGGCTTTATTTAATTCATAGAGAGAACCTAGTTTTATATGTTGTTGGTTTGTTGGACTGTCATAGTGAGTTCCTTGTTGAAATTATTGGTAATTATGTGTTATAGTATTGTTCATTGTTCAGATCTTTCGTAAAAAGTTCGGCATCTGTAACAGTAACAGTTCAAAATCTGTAACAGTTACAATAGACACTAAATGTACTAAGAATAATACTAAATGTTTAGAATAATAATTTTTTAGAATATCGAAACAAGAAGTAATGTAGTGCAATTAATAGTCACTGTTTTGTCTGTATCCATATTAAAAAAGTAAAAGTCTTAAACTTTTCCTTTGTCTTTTCCTTGGCAGGAGTGACAGCTCCTTCAACTTCTTTGTGTTCTTCTTCATTTTCTTCTTCCAATTCGTGGTCCACGTGATCCAGGCTGTGGGCATTGGCGGATGGGGAACTTGGTACGTATTCTGTTGTTTATGTACCTTGTATGTGTTTGTTTTTCAGTGCACAGCTGTATGTGAATGTCAGGCCTCAAAATTAACCTTTTTTTCCTATTGTCCCAGCACTGTCCCGAAAATAAATTTCAAGTGTCCTGAAGTGAAGTGAACTTGAAGTCAGCTTTATTTTGCTTACATTCTGACTTCCAGGCGTGCTATAATTGTAGAGGAAACGGGAAATTTGGGGTAGCTTTTTCTGGAGCCAAACAAAAGAAGGGCTGACATTCTGATGTTGACTATTTTTCTATTGTCCCAAAAATGTCCCAAATTGTCTTTTTACTTGTCCCAGCTTAAATTTTAGTGGTCACTGGCCATCGGGACACTGTTAATTTCAAGCCCTGAATGTGCCTGTCTTTCCCCATGCTGACATGGATCACCACAAGGAAATGTGTACAAAGATCCCCCCACTCATCTGCAAAAATATTGACATACCTCCATATGATAATATCAAGACAACACTTAGAACTATACCACATGTGCTCTCTCATTGGAAGATGGCAATGTGGCTTACGCCACCACTGGAATATACAGTTAAACCAGCCCAGGAAGACCACTCAAGGTTTGGTCGTCTTGGGCAGGTGGCATAATGCTTGAGCCTATGAAAAAAAATTGGGACCTGGGAAACATACATGTAGGTGTGGTTATTATGGCCAGCTTGGGCAGGTTAAGACTGTTCATGTGTGCCCATCTACATTTACTGGTACCTACACTAATAACATAGCTGCCCTGTGGCACTGATGCCTGTTCCTTTACAGTGGTTTAATCAATGGCCTGATGCTGGTTGGGTCAGGCAGTAGGGATGACGACAAGGGCGACCTGACCATTGGCGTGCTCATGATCACCGTGGGCTGTCTCTTTGCCTCCTGTGCTATCATGGACATGCTCTTGCTTAAAAAGGTAGAGGTTGTGTGTGGAGAAAAACTCTACTGTCGGAATGTGATGGGGTGTCTGCTTGGGTTCATCTGTCTGGTCGGAATGAAAGAAATTTCATCAGGAAATTTGACATGTTAACACAAATTTTGTCACAAATTTGCATGTGGAAGCTTCTATTTCAGTCAGTGCCCAGTACAGAAAGCTGTTTTGAAATGGTCAAGTCTTTAGCTTCAAAAATACACTAGATACCATCCATTGCATTGGATTGGCAAAAAAGTATCTCTTTCCAGACCCATCACTTCAACAAGAAAGTTGTCCAAACTGACAGTTACTTCTCTTCCAAGCAGACACCCTTCACACAGACAGAGCATGCCCTCCTCCCCAATGTTGCGTCCATTGCATGCGTTTTATTACATGCCTGTATTTTTGTTTGCCCCCTTCCTGTGTAGTGGTTGGATTAATGGCATAACGGCAGTCACCGTGAACCCTGGTGTCGGAGCCATCATGCTGATCATTGCCGCCTTCTTCACCATATCCGCTGTTCTCAGCATTATTTTTCTCAAGAAGGTAGACCCTCCCTTTTTTTTCTTTTCTGTTTTTGGTTTGTCTTGTGTCAGAGAGCCAGGAAGGTAGCATTGTTATGTTTCCTCACTTTGTAAAATGCATATGTACAATGTATGTATTTAGACTGATGTAATTGTATACATTTGTAGATGTGGTGAAACACAATATCGAGGTAAACCTGGAGAACCCACAATGCACCATGTATCAAGCTTACCCATGAAAAGGTCTTAATAATGTTACCATACATGTAGTGCTGTCACACATAACCAAATGTTAACTATTAGTATTACCATGCAGAGAACTTTGAATTTTGATGAAATGTCAGAAAAAGAGAAGACAGCCAAAATCAAAATAACTCCTTAATGGCTCTTTAGTATTTTGTTACTCCATACTCCATTGTTGTCCTCAACGTTTTATTCCAATCTGGCTTTCCTTTTTTTAAACCCCATTTTCACCCTGTGTGGTCAGATGGCAGCTACTAGTAAAATCAGGCTGCATTTATGCTGGCATTGTATCTGCTTGCCACATTGTGCATGTGAGTGTCAAAGTATGAAAACAGATGGTCACAATGTCACTTTTGGATGTAAATTATCTGCAGTTTCTACTAAGGCTTTCCTTGTTGATGTGGCCTTTTTTGCCATGCACATGCACTTTAATCCATACCAAGTGCACAACAGCTAACACAGGGAAATCAGTTTGTTGTGTAATCGTCTTGTCTACATCTTTTTGACCATGACCTTGGTGTCCACTGTCCCTAGGTGCACAGCCTGTACCGTACAACAGGCGCCAGCTTCGAGAAGGCCCAGGCGGAGTTCACCGAGGGTGTGGTGTCCAACCGCGGAGTCCAGCAGGCCGCTGGGCAGTTCGGTGCCGCCGCGGCAAAGGGCGCAGCCAGGGGCGCCATGTCGAGTGCGTCTGGGAACCAGATGTAGTAACCCTCTGCAAGGGGACGCTGCACGTTGTTTCCGATCATAATAACGATGCACTGCTAAAACTTCGCTCTGCTAACCTCCCTCCCAAAGTTCTAGCATGACACAATTCCTTATCGTACTTCTACCCTTTACTTCCAGCACAATTATGATTCCTAGGGCAAAAGACATATATATGATATCCCCTCCCCAGAGAATAACTGTTTTCCTGTATAAGTTATGATAACAGTGAATGTTATACTTTTGACTTAGCCCGTTTAGCTTGTTCCAAATATATATCCTCTTTGCAATACAAGTTGGCTTTTCCTGATTCAGAAAAGTTGTATTTGAAGGCCAACTGATGTTGCAAAGTAGAATTCTGTCAGGGACTGTCTGTGATCAGAAAAGAAAAACATTAGGAGAAGGCTTCTACCCAGGTAATGCTTTCCCCTAACTCTTCCCAAAGTCTGTCCTGGCAATTCCCCCAGCTGTGCATCAGGATTGGGTAGCTGGAAACAAATCTGGTGTCAGGACATGCTTTCCATGAAGGCCCCCGGCTGAATCCAGAGTCCAAACAGGCGTACTGTCCACAGGACGAGGGTATAGAGGGTATTTACATGAGACCTTTGGTGCATAAGCCACCATCAGGGGGGACCTTAAAAAAGAAGTTTAGGAAATAATGTACTTGTAAGGGTGTAGATGTAGCTCCATACCTACATAAATCCTGCAGAACATGTTGCTTCAAAGAAAGATGTGTAGTTCTGCAATATGTTCACAATCTGTACATTGGAGAATCAAAAAGTTATGAAAGTTAAGGTTGGCCACACCTTTTTATTTCATTTCTTGATGGTTAATCATAGCTTTTGCCATTCTTTTTGCTGTTTCATCCCTTTTTCTGGACTTTCTTTATTATTCTACCTTTGTTCCTTCCTTTCATCTTGTGTTTATGAAAGTATCTGAAGTGGTGTGGCCCCAAAATGTGGTCAGTTTTTGATGCTATCAACACATTCCATCCAGATAGTGACACTTCACACTTCAGTAACTAGTGCTGGTCAGAAAGAAAGCTGTAAAGTAGCGCCTTCTTGTTATATAACAAATTACCCTTGCTGAAAACAAAGTCATTTACTGTTAAGCATGATTTTCTTCCATTGGAATGTAGGAAATTTCTGCTGTTTGCATGTAGAAACACACATGCTGTTGTAGGAGATACAATGCCACATTTAGACAGATTCAGATAAACATTGACAGGAACTTTCTGTAGTATGTACCGGTAGTATTTCTGTAGATACACACACCTGTACACAATATGTATTTGCCGTAACAATTGGCCATTAGGTCCTTTAAGGTGGCATGATAGAGGTAAATCTAATGATAGGCAGATAGTTATACTCTTTCATGAAACATAAATATTATGTTTTTCTTTGTACCACATTGTATAACTAAATCTGACTTTGAAGAAGAAAGTATTCACCGGTGTATGCTATAGAACTGTTCTTTACCCATGATCCATTTCTTTCAAATGGGTCAAAGGTTACAAGACTTTCTTGCAACTTTCCAGTGCTAGCACATTTCTATTCCAGAATCTCAGATGAAGTACTGTACAAATTTTTTTACAAGCTTGTACTGTATAATTTTGGGGCATGAAGTTGGTGACAGAAGATATGTTCATGTTTTTATTAGTTTGACCACTCTGTGGGTGGGCACATGTGTCGAGACAATTTGGTAATTATTAGGGAATATTGAAGCTAGTTTTTCTGGAGTCTATTTAAGAATATAGAAATATGTAGAAATTACTGGAGTTGGGGGCTATTGTAAAGGCTTTTAGTACTAGTATAAAATATTACCCGTGCGTGAATTTACTCAAATGAAATCCATTTTTTGGAATACTGTAAATGCCTTTATGTTCGCAGTGGTTTTATGTTACGGTGGGAAAGGGAGGTTTGTACGGTGTTTGAAGTTCACTGTTGGAACAGGAAAAATTACAAAACATATATTTGCGGCATTATGATTTCTCAGTAAAAAAAATAAGAGGGAAAATAAAACCACCACGGACATGTCATGGTTTATGTTACTAGAGGAAGTGCTGTCAAATGTAAAGTTGCAATGTTAATAGGTGTCCGATAGAAAATAATGGACATTTGATGTTTTATTTCATTGTTGTGTTCAGTTGCAGTGCTGCTTTAATATCATCATGCAATTTTCCTGGCACAATACAACATTGCTCCATTTGATGTACATGGCCGTTGACTTGGAATTGATCAAATGCTAAATTTTTATGTGTACCACGCTTACATGTATTGTTCTGTGTTATTTTGCACTTTAATGGATGTTATACACAGTTTCATGCTTGATTTCATTGAGCTTGGGTTGTGAGCACATTGTCAACTAGGAGCATTTTGTCTTCAAGAAATATTTGAAGAAATTATAGAGGTAAAGTGAGGTATATCCAACTATTTGTACATGTATGTGTATGTGGTTGTTAATGTAGATCTTGGTGCAAAGATGTGTACTTATACACAATTTTCAAGGCATAGGATGTTTATTTAAGAAATCAGCCTGTATTCCATCCCTATAAAGTTTCAAATTGATGACTTCTATCGTATATTTCTGGTGTTTACGAGTTGTCCACCCATTTGGTAATATACAGTACACAACTAGAATGAGCAGTTTATATACCATATGTAAAAAGGGGGTTTAGATCCACCTTTTATTTGGTTTTATCCTGCATTGCTCCACCCCTTTGTTTCCAAAATTCCTTACTTTGGTGGACTGTAGATTTCTAGCATGAGGTCATAATCTGTATCACAATGATGTAGTTTAATGTATTTATTAAATATTGTGTACTATTGTTAATTAACAGGAGATATCGTATGGAACAGATTGCTGTAAACTAGTGTAATTTCTACCAGTGTGTTCAAATTACAAGAATGTTAAGGGGACTTAAAGCCAGATGTGCTTTCATCCTGTAGGTTTGGATTTAAAGAGGGTTTCTGAACAAACAATAAAGCTGATGCTATGTATATTGAAGGGAAACATCGTTTATGGTGACTCCATTTTGAGTGCAACTTTCTTTGTTTGTTGCCAGTCATAAGAAAATTGCAAAAACATATTTTGCAAGACTTTGAAGGATGTGGAAGGTTTGGGCCAAAATTATCCCACACATACATACATATAGATAGGGTCGATAGCAACATTTTTTAGCTCTGATACACGTTAATAATGTACATGTAGTATTGGAATGGACAATCACTAATCTTTAATGTTTAAGAATCTTGTGATGTCATTGTCGCGGGTATTCCTCTAGTGGAGCAGCCCCTGGGGCGTCACCAAAAACCGCCTGTTGGAGTTGACACTGATGAATGAATCGAGCCTTCTATCCTCCGGTCGCCACGCCATTTCCCACGGCCGTCTGGCTTCTCCCTCAGCAAATTGTCTGTCCTCTCGCTAGTATGCCTGTGAGCCTGTATCACACATTCCTCCATTTCTGATCGTTCTGAGTTGCCCCAAGACTTGGTTTGTGAGAGGTAAGTTTGGTAACGGGGTTACGTACCGTCCGTGGCACACGATTCAACTTCGGCATTCCTAAAGAGGTCGCCCCTCCCCCAAACATGGCGATCCCTTCTATAATTTTTTCTTGAGGTCATGAGGGTTACGGAGAAGTTCTGATGCCGTCAGCGTAAGCAGTGGTTTTGTAGTGGACATGTTGACGATGGCCTTCAATGAAAGATGGTATTACATGATTATTGTATAAAAATAGCTAACGTCACAAGAGATGGCACCTCAGTTCGGTTTCCTTTGCAGGGGGGGGGGGCAAACTTTGTTGGAAACCAGCATAAATATTGCAAATTCCAATATTTGTTTTTTTTCTCTCTCATCTCCCTGTTATCTTGGCAATGTTCCAGGTGTGTGGCTTAACCCGCAACATTTTTGTTGACTACAGATGTTGCCGAATAAGCACTTCAGTGGGCCTCTCGTGCAGAATGAAAAGTGTTTACTTCAATGGCTATCCAAACTTGGAGGAAAGTTGCTATGGACCCACTGAACTGAGGTTTGGACCAAAGAGGCAGCACCGGTTCAGCAGCAGACCATGTTTCTGCCCAGGGTTATGTGGGTTCCCAAAGGACAGGGGAGGAGTATCACTCAGCCAGGATTCTCTGAGAGGCTGGAAATAGATGGAGTAAAAGAGTCACAGAAGGAGAGTGCTGGGGAACTTGAATACTGCACCAAGAAGAAAGACGTCCGACCTGTTGTTGAACCACTGGTTGAACCCGTCAGGAAGAAAGTGAAGTTAGCCAAAGCAGAACTTCAGTATTTGCCCATAAATGCTGTGCCTATATGTGTAAAGGCTGGTGTGTCTTCAGAACCAAAGTGCAGTAGTGAAGGAAATGTGAAAGATGCAGGGAGCACCCCTTTGGATGTTCCAGAAACATCTGGAAAAACCTGCAGTGTTGGCCAGTCAGGAGAGGAAAATGTTAAATCCCCAAATCATGTTGCCAAAATAGGCAGGAAGGACTCACAGATGGAACAAAATGATGTGTATCATGCAAGGACTTTTACTGTAGTCATTAACAAGCCATATGTTGACATCATGTCCAAGGCAAATCCATCCCCTTTAAGAAGCCCTCACTTAGTGAAAACAAGGCACCAATGTGGAAAAAAACCTGTGCACTACACTCCAATAAGGAGGGGACAGCATCTCGCAAGTACTTGGCGCAAACTCCACGGTGAAGAGAAAACAGACCAAAACAACAGAAGCCTGTTGTCAGCAAGGTTCGCTAAACTGAGGAACAAAAACGCACCGAAGGAACAGACTGTTGCCAACAATTCTCCAGAAAAAACACCAACAAGCGGCATCCCTGTTCCACCAGTGCATGAGTGGTTAAGTAGCTTCTTTGGGACGAGTATCAGCTATGGAAGTAGCCACAGTGACACCGGTGGAAGCACAGATGATGACAGTAGTTTTGTGAAGCTTCGTTCCATGCTAAAAGCTTTGCAGACTGGCAACATTGATCAGCTGAAGGCTGGAGATGGAGGGGACCTAGTAGAAGAGGATGATGATATGAAGGATTTCAATTTGGAGAATAGCAGCTCTAACGAGGATGATGAAGAGTATTATGATGATGATATCTTTGCACATTTGGAAGAGGATCAGGAAGAGGACATGGACACATCCTGCACAGATGTGACCTTGCAAGAGAGTAACTCTATGGCAGAGGTCAGCGATGATGGCCGAAATGATGTCAAGAAACATCCAAAGAATGTTTGGGGTATACTAGACATGAAACATAACAACAACAATAACAACAACGTGGAAAATTCTGGGGGAAGATCCAGCCCTGTAGTGGAAAGCTGGCTCCAGGCAACGTACAAAGGGGGGAAGAACATGAAACTTAGCGAGGAGGAAATCCCAACAAGCTGTGCTGAGGATATGGAGCTGATCGACTGGAAACAGCTCATGTGTTTGCTCTGCAAGAGAAAGTTCAACTGCAAGGAGGCGCTGCTGAGTCATCAACAGTTCTCCAATCTTCACCAGTCCAACCTGGAGTTCAAGAGAAGAGCTCTGGAGGAGGAGCTGAAGGTTTTGGAGATGGAGCTAGACCCTTCTTCATCATCATCAGTCTTTTCCTGCACATGAAACTGCAAAGATGGAAAACAAAAGGAAAGCAGTTTGAACAACTTGGTGGAAAAGAAATAATTGTACCTATTGAAAATTGTCAGGAGAGTAGCCTGTGATCATACAACCTCTTGTTACTAGTATTAAATTGATCCCCTCTTGGGGGTGGGGGTGCAGCTGTGAGGCAGGCCGGCTGCTGGGAGTGCAAGTTATTTTAGTCATGCTAGTCAGGAGAGCTGATGTCTAGCTTTAGAAATGTAACCCTGTTTGTTGCTTTCACCATGGAGGTAGAATTGCTCTGCTAACCCTTTCACTTCTTTCACCATGAGTTACAATGGCATATGATAACTGTATGAATGCCCTCTCTCATTTAGCTCTACAAGTGCCTAGGCCTAATGGACCTTGCCACTGGGAAGGCTGGCCATTGTCTAGTTCAATGTGACATTGTTGTTACAGTAGTTTGCATTTATGTTTTTTGTTGTGTAGGTTTACATTAGTTAGAGTACATGTTTATTATAGCATGTCTTGAGGTGGAAGGATGCCTACTATAGCATTGCATTACTAAGAGCAGTGGCCTTACAATATGTAGATTGCATTGATAAATAAAGATTAATCTCTTCTGCCAGTTTGTCTGTTTTACATGATTGAAATTGAGTGCCATTTTATAATGGATTGTACACTCTACAATGACAAGTGCCTATTGCTGTTCACTATATATATTTTCTTTCTGCTTGTTTAATTGATTTCAATACGTTAGATCCTATATATATAAATTCAATTACATTCTCAGGGGAGATAACCAATACAGTGTTCAAATAGGAAAATACATTAAAGAATGTTTCGATCTTTGTGACCACATGTTAGAGAATAGTTAACCTTGTTACCACATACATATATTCTGTACGTAGGATGACGTTATCCACACATGTATTTATTATTAATGAATAGCTTTGTTAGATCTTTAGTTGTAGAAGACCATACAAATAATATACCCCTTCTTGTATGCTTACTTTGGCACTACTGACTAAATCACTGCTTGCTGTTGAGAGGTCCTTGTGAATTTGAAGATTTCAGCCATCTGTGATTCATGTAAAACATCTCAAGTTATTTGCCCTCATGCCCATGTTTTGTAGAACAGCCTCAATTACAGCATGTCCAGATCACTAAATACTAGTACTGCGAAACCGGAAGTCCCATTGCAGTACCATAACAATTCGCCAGGGGGGCTAAAATGTAATCATTTTGAAGTGTCATCATAACCTACCCCCCTACCAAATATTAACAAAATCCATCCATGCCATCTTTAGTTACTGCGTTTACATACACACACACAAACTCACACGGACGAAAACTCACAGTTAACATATCGTTTTTCTTTATTAATGTCAGAGTTGCAAACACCCCGACAGTCTTTCATTTACAACACTCCCCGATGTGAATACCACGGAAAACACCGAACATACTCCCGATAGCAACTTCTAAGCAAGGTTTTGTGCTCATTATATTCATGAACGGAAATCACTATGTCTGAAAGCTGCGGAATGCAACAGTAATTCTACTTGGGAGGCTTGGATCATGAAGTATTTTAGCCATCAAGCAAGATGTGAAGGAAATATTTCTAATTGGTCTACCTCAGCTAGCGCTTTGCACATGATGAACAATATTGTAGTACAAAGGAATCTTAAACAAAACTTAACATGATCACAGCAGCTAGATATTAGTACACAGTGTGGTCAGATAACTTTAAAAAATGAATTTAGAAAAGAAGAAAACTATTCAACATCTAAAGTTTTTAGGAACGTTCTACTTCTGAACATGTGGAAAAGTGGCTATATAATGTACAGGCGTGGTCACATTTGTCGCACGATTTTTTTGTTGTAGAATTTTAGTCGGGTCTAAGGAAGAATCTGCCGTCGGCAAGGATCAGCAGCAAGTTTGTCAGTCACAAGACAGTTGGGTTTTGTACAACACATCACGATTCGGTCTCGTAAGGCTACCTCACGACAAATGCGTGTGACCACGACGCCCTGACAGGAAAATCGTAAACATCATTCATGTAACTTCAGGTGCGACCCTCAGCTCAACAAACTTCAGTAAGGGGTAAATATTGCCTTCATCATCTAGCCTGAGGTACCACCTGATGGTATCAAGAGGCCATTTGGTTTTGGTCGGCACGGTTTGCGGCGTGTAGTACACGCCGTTTAGGTTGGGGAAATACGAGTTGGATAACCACCCCGCACTCCTGAACCTGAAGGCCGTCGCGGTAGCAGCGTCATTGTCCCATGTGGCGAAGGTCATGTTGTTGCTGAAGCGGAGAGCATTGCGGGCGGTCCCGCTGAACCCACGCCCGAGGGACAGTTTGTACTTGGAGGCTTCGTCCAGGACGGAGAAGCTCCGGTACTGGGCGTAGCTCGATTCTCCGTCGAACGTTTCCAAATCCACCCGCAGCCCGTACCTGGCCTGGTTGGTCAGCAGGTGGATGTTGTCGTTGCCGAGCCAGAACTCCGTGGACAGGTTGCCGAAGCCGACCTTGTACTCCTCCCAGGTGCGGTAGAAGTCCACGGAGCCGTCCTGGCGCCGCATGAGGACCGTCCAGCCCTGCCCGCCCTCCATGCGACAGTAGACGGGGACGGTTCGGTTCGCCCCCGCCAGGCGGATGGTGTACACGCCGCTTCTGGCCGTCTCGTTCGACCAGTGGAAAATGGCCGAGCAATCTGTGATACAAAGTCAACAGTTCGGTATATTAGCGTGTTAATATGCGTCAATATCGTCTAACACAAGTTGTACATAGCAATACACATAACAGTACGCCAAGGACCCTCTCCGAAATGATTTTAAACCTCCTTGTGTATGATAGGCACGATAAACTAGTAATGCTTGTCAAGGAAATAACTCAATGAAAATGCGCTTTAGACTTTCAAATTTGGTAACAAAGCATATCTATGTCTTTGACGCGGGGGCACGTGTGTTTTTCATTAATCTCGTAGTTGAAAATGACCAAAGTCTTGTACTTGGCTTGATATTCAGCCAGAAGGCCGGCGGGTACCAGGCTATCTTGTACAACGCTTACCTAAAGCCTACATATAAGTACAGTATATGTTCAATGGCCAAATTACATATGTGTCACTGTTGATTGGTTGGAACACCAATACTAGTTGCCTATATATTTGCCATTAACGGTATCGACGCTTTTGGTGGGAAACCCTGCACGCGCACCTCCTCTGTTTCACGACTCCTAAGTTCTGACAATATGAATTTCATTCTGATAGCTTTCTGCCGGCCACGGCATTTCTGGCGGCGTTACGACGATTGAACCTCCCTAGTAGGACATAGGTACGTTTTCTTCGTGTGTTTCATTATCTTAGATGCTTTGTATGGATATGGGCCATGAGCCTGAGGGAAATAAATACAGTCAGTTATCCTACCGATCCACATGTCCGGGGAACCCATGGCCAGGTGCCTCTTGACCTGTTCCAACATCCCCTCAGCTGTTTGCAGGTGCTGTTCCAGGTGCTTCCAGGTGGCTCGGAGCGGCGGCAGGTGTCTCGCCGTGGGAAACCCCGCAGGTGCGTGGAAGGTCCAGGTCCTACAGGGGCAGTCAATAGTGTTAGCTAAAATCTGGACTTAAGAGTTTATTTTCTTGCTTTACAAAATAGTGCCCGAGTAAAGAAAATTAATCACACACACACGTACGCATGTTACATACATACGAGTACATACACAGACGCGCATCCACACACACACACACACACATCCATACGCTTATACGCTTATACACGCACGCACACACACACACAAAGGCATTCTCCCTCCCTGTTGCTCTCCCCCCTGCAACTATATCAGCCACCAAAAACGGAATCGTTTCTCCTCCGTTTCCCCTCCAGACAGTCCGTACAGCGAGTCCACATTAAAAGAAACTCCATAAAAACTCACCCGTTTTTCACGGCGGGGCAGTCTGTGGACCCGCGGCCTCCTCTCCCCCCGATGACGTCACCTGCCACGGTCTTGTCGTTACAGAGGATCATCAGCGTCACGACCAAAAACTGAAGGCAGCGTGTTGTCGTCGCCATGCCGTGCGCCAGTCTGACGCTCCTATAGCGGCTGACTGATCGATCGGCCCCCGGCAGCGAGAGATTGTGTAACATGTGCTGGCTGTGCACGTCTACATGGAGGTTAAAAGCCGCGGTGGTATGCAGCGATGTGATGTATTACTAAGGCCACAACATGTAAATTTTATGGATGGCGTCCTCCACAGACTCCTAATCTAATCTCCAAATCCAAAACGTATAACAAGATTCGTACATTTTCAAACTTTGAGATCGTAAAACCTTATTAAACAAGAATTGTGGCTACAAAACATGATAGGTCTTTTATTCCTGTATTTAACATTATTACCTGTCCTTATAGATGTGTACACATGGCACACAATTGTAGAAAAGAAGTTGTCGTACCATCAAGGGTAACGTTATAGCTACTACACTTGGCAGTTGTTTACCTTAGACTGTCAAACTTGCCATCAGAGTAATTGTGCTTCAAGTTTGTTGGATCCCTGATCATGATGGTCTCTGAGATTACAGTCTGTCTATCTGCGGCTCAATCACTGACAGAGTGACTCATAAACCAAGGAGATTCTAGTGTGCTATAACCTTGGTTTGGAAGCCATACTCTCCCTATATTTAATTTTGCCAACTATTACAACATCCATTTGTCTCTGAAATAGCTTTAAAAGTAGATGACTAGATAAAAGTTTTCAATCATTGTATAAATGGTTTTGATTCAGTGACATCACATATAACAATGTATCAAAGTAAAAGAATAAAATACTAAACAATAAATCAGAGCCTTGCCTTGCCGGTCGACGTTTTTTTCTTCAAAATCGGCCGACGTCCAATGCGCGCGCTGTTGTCATCCATAAAAATTACTTGTTGTGGCCTAACATAAGCAAGTCTGCTGTGAGTCTAATTAATCAGCGATATGAATAGGCATGAATCGGCTCACAACAAACAGATTTTGTACATTCAGTTATTCCGTATCAAACACAAGCTGGAAGGACGCAAATGATCAAAGGCTAACACCATTTCACTCAGTGTAGAATGCATATATAACCTTTTCACCTCCGCGGAACGAAATATCCTTCCACTGGAAAATATTGTTTGCTTAGATGAGAGTCAAACTTTAAATTTGAGCAACTCGTTGACTTCTTAATTGCATGCAGTTCTACATTATTCCGCTAACTAATAACGGTGTCCTTGTACCGCAGCGAGTCAGTGGAACATCTGAACTGAATAACAGGCATGATTAACGCTAAAAAAACGTCTCAAACAGAGATAACTCGGAAGAAAGAATGAACGAATGACTGACCACGCAGACCACGGTACATATTCTAAACAATTTTTTTTCAAAATTCCGTTGTTTCACATCATCCATGACTTTTGAAGATCGTGGTGCAAGCAAGTGGTAATTCGAGCCCTGCTCCCTTCTTATGGCAAGTTCAAATGCCAGTTGGCCGGTTGTGAGTCATTTTGTGTGGACAACACTATGACAGGCAGCCATCGGCAAGTAGCCGGCATCACATTTGAATCAAGGTGATAGGTCGAGTGTAGTATTGCTAAATCCACCTGTCTTTTTCGCCAGCTACATGCGCCTCGAGCTCATGAACTGTGAACTTGGAATTCAAGCAAAATGTCTTTATACAGCATATCCTTACATATCTCACCTCTATCCAATTATTCCCTCTCCTCCCAAATTACCCTCGATGCCATGCCATCACAGCTACTGCCATTTGTTGTCATTACTCCAGTTTGTTCAATGCAATGCAATTATGGCCTCTGCACATTGATGTTTTTTTCCATATATGAGAATAGGCCTAGAAAAAGAAGTGGCTCGATGACTATAGGCATTGAAGTTCTAAATCCTTTGAAGAGGTGTTAAAATCTGCTAATGTGCACCTGCAGCAAAAGGCGACTGGCAGTATGGAGAACATAAGGGGTGATTCCTTTGTGAGCTGAACGAGGATGTCACCTACGTGCTGCTGGTTACACAAAGTTAACCTTACGGTTACGGCTATGTTTTCGGTTGTGTCGTTTAACCTTCTTCCTGCTGAACACCGCCGTTTGGCACCACATTTCTTTTAGTTACGGGGTTAGACAGCAGGGAGAAGGTTGATAACAGCATAATTCGGAAGGTTATCGATGGCTTGTTGTGATGGATTGAACTGTATTGTCTTGAAAGAAAGGCGATAGGCGCTAATCATCAAATATGGTACACTGAAGTGAAAAAATGACATGTATATTTGTCTCGTTTTCAACATATAAGTGATCACAGAATTTGCATGTTTTATCTTTACTTTGAAAGGACACCTTTCTGCCTGTCGGGTTCTATATGCAAGGACGGTATGATGATTGATGGACACATAGATAGACAAGATAATATCTAGGGGACCTTGCTATGACCAGCGAGTCGGCAAATATGTTTGGACATAAGTGATTCTCCAACCAGAAAAGTAATCGCATTTTACGAACAGGCATCTCGCGTGCCCAGGGGAAATCAAACAAACACACCTTAACTATTAGTCTTATTATTACCGATTCTGGTGAAATCATTTTACAGCGCGCACACAAGCGTCAATCGGCGGCAACAACCTTGTCGACCAAGGGTCTTTTCAGGTCGCTTTTTGTGCTGTTGATGGTTTTCTTTGTTCTTTTTGTGCACGATGTAATTCAGCAGATGGGCGTGGAGTGTTCCACATGGTCTATCTGGAAAATCATATTTTTCAATTTCATCTCTCCCTCTCCCCAAAGTCTGCTGAGCGACATACATGTATTCTTTTAGCATAGGTTTGAGATTCGGCTTTTTTTTAAAAGTGTTTTAGCCGTTTTTATGGGGATTTCTTCTTTGTACTGGTGTCTTTTTTTACGACAGCCTTAGGGTGGCAAATAGATATTACCCATTCGATACTGTCTTGCAGCCACCAAAAGATCTGCTTGGAGATTACACGCAGCACACTTGCTACCACTCCTCTGGCTCTAGTACTCGTCGTTTGTTCCAGAAACGAGCTGTCCATATTTCCCGGACAACAGTTCTTATCTAAGGTAGTTACATTCTTGAGACAACTACCAGACTATTCTGTGTGGAATTCTAGCTGGACTACTTTTCTGGAGAACGGCTTTTACTGTGAGCACTTTGGGAACTTATGCATATATATATATTTTTAATTCTGGTAACAAAACCAGAACAAGACTGTTCAGGCTGTGTCATACCCACGAAATTCTCATGACCCTATCTAACCCCGTACGTACCTGGACGTTGTTAAAAACAACAACCGCAGGTGCATACGGGTACCGCCTAGCCACAAGCACGCACCGCACGTAATGGCAAATTGTTGATTACATGTACGCACAAATGGCGACCGCGATTATTTACAACATAATTGCAAAGACCTCTTCATAGGAACGATAATTGTATACTAGTATTGCTCGGCTTTTGAACTTTCACGTGTTTTTCATAGCCCGAGCAGCATAATGGGCAATCAATATCGTTAATTACAGAAGGCTCTGTCACGGTTGATTTGATTACGTTGTGTAGAAGGCTGGGTGTGGGCTCGTTGCAGCGGTAAATAAGAGCGAGCGTCGAGCTCACAATGGAAAATTGATGTGAACACTTTATGGGCGAGTAGGTCTTGTGTCGTGCCGATTGTTAGAGGGATTAATTGGAAGGCGAACAAAAGATCCACCACACTAGAGCCTGATGATGCCTGCCTAGCTCGCTCGGGTAGAATTTACGGCGATGATTATATTTGTTATTTCTGAGAGTTTTATTTTCTTGCTCTCTGACGCGAGCGACTACGATATCGGAAGGATTGTTTGTTTGAACCGCACATCTTAATTGCGCACGCTGCTTTAAGCATGTCTTCATTTCTGCTACTAAAGCTTGTCACAGAACTAATTAAAATTGTTTACGGCGCACTATCAGGTTCTTCGTAGGTCGTTGTACGATGTACTATTTCCAAGCAGGCTGTGACAGAAACAACCCCCGATAAGGATCTAAGACCGGCTATCACAAGACAGATGGATTTTGAAGGACACATTCACGACTGTCCCAAGAATGACTTCAGTTTGCGATCGTGCGACGAACGTACGACTTCCGAGACCAGACCCTATGGTGCTGTTTTTTTGCAAGAAAAACAAAGTTAACAGTCAGAATTTGACTGACCTTCAAATTTTTGTGACTGACGTTTTATTTCTATTATCTTTTTGCCAATAAATTCCCTTGAGTACTGTGTACAAGCAATTTTCTACAGACCAAACCCTACACATAGGACAAGGACAGCAGATATCTATCAAATGCAAATTATTAGTATTCAGTATCATTTACTCATTAATTTATTCGTTTATTAAGATTAACGGCATATGTGGAATGAATGACATAACAGTCGATTATCACTTTTTCAAGATGTCAACCCTAAGACTGTAAGGTTTGAACCATTCACACTGAGCTCGAGAAGGACCCCCAACTCTTATGGATAAGTGTGGTGCGGTCTTTAACGTGCTCAGGGCGTGGCTCTCCGTAAACACGGGACCTCCAGCTTATACTATCCGAGTGGACGTCCCTTGGCGAAGCTAGGTACTCATATTCACTCGAGTCGAGTGAGGAAATAGGCTAGGTGTAAAGTGCCTTTCCAAAGGGCACGCCATTGGGTTCCATTCACTATTACAGACTAGCCTATACCAGGCTCCCCAGGTTGCTGGAAAAATATATATTTTGGACAAATAGGCTGAATAATGTTCCATTGCAATTCTGACTAATGCAATTAAATGTGCAAAGATTGAGTGTAACAAGTCGGTCAGTGTGATATAGCTAGCTGCCGCCGCGCCGCGTGCCTGCGAAGCTGGTGTGTTACGCCGAAGGGCGGTTATACCGGCTATACTAATACAGCACCAATGTGCCAGAGGAGATAGGCGGTTAGAGGTTTGCAGCTGGATAGAGAAGTTGTAAATTGGGCCCTGTAGACGGCAAACTAACTACTTTGGCATGCTAGTGAGTTTCATTTGGCCAAATTTCGTTTAACCTGGGAAGCCTGGTAGAGCTATCTACAGAGTACCAGGACGTAGAAATAGACGTACATTTTACAAATTATATCGTGATCTCTCTCCCCAGGGACGTCCTGGAACCCCCTTTTTGTTTAGAACAAGGCCATGCAGGGATAAGCCAAAGTCCGAACAGATGTTGGGAGGGAAAGCTCTACTTTTTATGGA